ATCAAGGACTGAGAGCTCCCCCAGGCTGGGTTGGACAGAAATTGCCTCCTCTGGGTCTGTAAGGGGAGCTAAAATAGGGAAATAAAAGAAAAGGTTTAGTTATAATTTCCGTGGTCTTGGAGATTCCACCCAAGACCTGGAAGAATCAGTAAAAAGGTTGCTTATAAAGGAAATCAAGGACGTTAGTATGGAAGAATAATATTTGAAGAGCCCCAGCCATGCTAAATCCTGAAGCTGACCTGTGGTGGCATCAGTGGAGAGGGGGCTAGAGCGTTTGCGCCCGGAGACTCCATAGAGGTTGAACTTATATCTGCGTGAAGGAACCAGGCTGGTCACAGTCACTTCGCGGGAATCTCCCTCCACAGGCAACACCTGGGGTTGGCCATCTGCATCCTTGTACTGGACCAGGAAGGAGTCAAAGCTGCCGGTGTGGACGGTCCAGTAGAGACGGACAGAATCGTTTGTGACATCAAGGACTGAGAGCTCCCCCAGGCTGGGTTGGACAGGAGTTGCCTCCTCTGAGTCTGTAAGGCTGGCTAAAACAGGGAAATGAAAGAAAAGGCTTAGTTACAGTTGCATTGATATTGCAGATGCAATCCAGAAGCTGAAATTATCAGTAAAAAGGTTGCTTATAAAGGAAATCAAGGACGTTAGTATGGAAGAATAATATTTGAAGAGCCCCAGCCATGCTAAATCCTGAAGCTGACCTGTGGTGGCATCAGTGGAGAGGGGGCTAGAGCGTTTGCGCCCGGAGACTCCATAGAGGTTGAACTTGTATCTGCGGGAAGGAACCAGGTTGGTCACAGTCACTTCGCGGGAATCTCCCTCCACAGGCAACACCTGGGGTTGGCCATCTGCATCCTTGTACTGGACCAGGAAGGACTCAAAGCTGCCGGTGTGCACGGTCCAGTAGAGACGGACAGAATCGCTTGTGACGTCAAGGACTGAGAGCTCCCCCAGGCTGGGTTGGACAGGAATTGGCTCAGCTGTTTCTGTAAGGGGGGCTAAAACAGAGAAAGGAAAGGAAAGGCTTAGTTATAGTTGCAATGTCGTTGGAGATTACATCCAGGTTTTGGAACATTCCGGAAATATGGTATTTGTTAAGGAAATCAAGAATGTTAATATGAAAGAATAATATCTGAAGAGTCCCCAGCCATGCTGA